ACCTCTCCAGCGCATCATCAAGGATCTACAACCTATCCTGAAGGACGATCCCTCACTCTCACAGATCTTGGGAGACAGGTCAGACCTAGCTTACAGACAGCCCCCCCAACCTGAAGCAAATACTCACCAGCAACTACACACCACACAACAAAAACACCAACCCAAGAACCAAACCCCGGTGCCAACTCTGTCCACATATCTATTCAGGGGACACCATCATAGGGCCTAATCACATCAGCCACACTATCAGAGGCTCGTTCACCTGTGCATCTACCAATGTGATATATGCCATCATATGCCAGCAGTGCCCCTCTGCCATGTACATTGGCCAAACCAGACAGTCTGTGCAAAAGAATAAATGGACACAATGGACATCAGGAATCCTAACATTCAAAAACCAGTAGGAGAACACTTCAGTCTCTCTGGTCACTCAAAAACAGACCTAAAAGTGGCAATTCTTCAACAAAAATACTTCAAAAACAGACTCCAACGTGAAGCTGCAGAACTGGAATTCATTTGCAAACTGGATACTATCAGATTAGGCCTGAATGGAGACTGGGAGTGGTTGGGTCATTACAAAACCTAAACTTAATTTTCCCTACTGTTACTCACACCTTCTTGTCAACTGTCTGTAATGGGCCACTCTCTTACCACTTCAAAAGTTATTTTTCCTCCCTTGGTATCCTGCTGTTAATTGATTTTTAACTCATTAGATTGACCTCACACTTGGTAAAGCAACCCCACATCCTTTCATGTATTTATACCTGCTCCTGTGTTTTCACTCCATGCATCCAGTGAAGTGGGTTCTAGCCCACGAAAGCTTATGCACAAATAAATTTGTTAGTCTCTAAGGTGCCACAAGGACTCCTCGTTATTTTTGCTGATACAGACTAACACGGCTACCACTCTGAAACCTGTATTGTGTCAATATTCTAAAAGGGCAAACAAATTAGGTCTTGTCTTGTCAGAAAAACCTAATATCATTTAATTGGAGATTAAAATGTTGGTTGATAAACATAAGTACAGAGATGTAATATACTTAGGCACTATACAATATCAATAAAGCACACATTACATGAATTAAGAACTGGCTAACTGAGAGAACTCAAAGTAGTTGTCAATGAGGAATCATCATTGAATGGGAGTGTTTTTAGCAGGTTCTGCAGGGATTAGCATTAGGCTTGATGCTAGTCAATATTTTTGACAATGATCTGGAAGTAATTGTAAAATCACTACTGATTTCAGTAGAATGTGAACTAATATTCTGCCTGCTGTACAGAGGAGAGTAATGCCTCTGTAGTTTCCGCAGTTGGCGTTGCTGCCTTTTTTTGAACAGTGATACAATAATAGCATCTTTGAAGTCTTGTGGCATTTCTTCTTCCTCTCTAGTGCTACTCAGGATGTCATGAAACACCTCGATAGCCTTTGGGCCTGCTCCTTTATACAGTTCTGCTGGAATACCATCCTTTCCAGATGCTTTGCCAGAGTTCAGTTGTTTTGATGGCTTTTATAACTTCCTCAACTGATGAAGAGAGATCGAGATCCTCTCTGATGGGTTTCTCAGGTAAATGGTCAAGGACACACCAATCGACTGTGGATGGTCTGTTGAATAGACTACTGAAGTATTCAGCCCATCTCTGTATGATTCCCACCTTGTCTTTGAGGGTTGTGCTATCTGTCGACTTTAAGGGGGCTGTGCCAGATTTAGATGGTCCGTAGACTGCTTTGAGAGAGTCAAAGAACATGTTTGCGTTGTTTGTATCTGCGTAATGCTGGACTTCTGCAGCTTTCCTCTCCCACCACTCTCCTGCATTCTCCTTCGTTCAGACTGGGCCTTGCTCTATAGGTACTTAAACCTATCTTTCTTTCAGATGGAAGTGAGTTCATTCTGCCATTCAACAAATGTTTTCTGCTTGTCACTTAGAAGTTTGGAGATGTCCTCGTTGTTCTCATCGAACCAGTCCTGGTGTACACTTTTTCTTTGGCCCCAGCACTGATTTAGCTCTCATTCTACTGAACAGACTCATTGCAAACGTATCTGAGGAGAATCTGCCAGAAGCGCAGAGTAGTTTCAGACCAAGTTGTAGAACTATGGACATGATCTTTGTTGTAAGACAGGTCCAGGAAAAATGTTTAGAGCAGAACATGGATCTGTATGCAGTTTTCATAGATTTGACCAAAGCTTTTGATACGGTCAACAGAGAGGGTCTATGGGCCTATGGGCTATTCTACATAAACTGGGGCTGCCCAAGAAGGTGCATACAAATCATCAGCTTTTGACACGGTCTCCCACAGTATTCTTGTCAGCAAGTTAAGGAAGTATGGGCTGGATGAATGCACTATAAGGTGGGTAGAAAGCTGGCTAGATTGTCGGGCTCAATGGGTAGTGATCAATGGCTCCATGTCTAGTTGGCAGCCGGTGTCAAAGTGGAGTGCCCCAGGGGTTGGTCCTGGGGCCGGTTTTGTTCAATATCTTCATAAATGATCTGGAGGATGGTGTAGATTGCACTCTCAGCAAATTTGCGGATGATACTAAACTGGGAGGAGTGGTAGATACGCTGGAGGGGAGGGATAGGATACAGAAAGACCTAGACAAATTGGAGGATTGGGCCAAAAGAAATCTGATGAGGTTCAATAAGGATAAGTGCAGGGTCCTGCACTTAGGACGGAAGAATCCAATGCACCGCTACAGACTAGGGGCCGAATGGCTAGGCAGCAGTTCTGCGGAAAAGGACCTAGGGGTGACAGTGGATGAGAAGCTGGATATGAGTCAGCAGTGTGCCCTTGTTGCCAAGAAGGCCAATGGCATTTTGGGATGTATAAGTAGGGGCATAGCGAGCAGATCGAGGGACGTGATCGTTCCCCTCTATTCGACATTCGTGAGGCTTCATCTGGAGTACTGTGTCCAGTTTTGGGCCCCACACTACAAGAAGGATGTGGATAAATTGGAGAGAGTCCTGCAGACTAAACAATCCCAGCTCCCTCAGCCTCTCCTCATAAGTCATGTGTTCCAGACCCCTAATCATTTTTGTTGCCCTTCGCTGAAGAGAAGAATGAGGGGGGATTTGATAGCTGCTTTCAACTACCTGAGAGGTGGTTCCAGAGAGGATGGTTCTAGACTATTCTCAGTGGTAGAAGAGGACAGGACAAGGAGTAATGGTCTCAAATTGCAGTGAGGGAGGTTTAGATTGGATATTAGGAAAAACTTTTTCACTAAGAGGGTGGTGAAACACTGGAATGCGTTACCTAGGGAGGTGGTAGAATCTCCTTCCTTAGAGGTTTTTAAGGTCAGGCTTGACAAAGCCCTGGCTGGGATGATTTAACTGGGAATTGGTCCTGCTTCAAGCAGGGGGTTGGACTAGATGACCTTCTGGGGTCCCTTCCAACCCTGATATTCTATGATTCTATGATTCTATGATCTGTCTGTTCCATGACCACATGATAGTGCAAGTACTCGACAGTGGTGACTTCTCCGATGCATTTGAAATCTTGAATGGGGTGAAGCAAGGCTGCATACTTGCTCCAGTGCTGTTCAACTTGTTCTTTGCCAGTGTCCTCAGCCATGCCACAAGGGACTCGGATCAGGGGATATACATCCACTATTGACTTGATGGCTCCCTCTTTGATCTTTGAATACTCAATGCTAAGACCAAGATGCTGGAGAGGCTTCTTGTCAAGGCACTTTTCGCAGATGACTGTGCCTTGATGGCTCATAGACATCAGGTCATCATTGATTTTTCTGAAGCATCTCAGCTCTTTAGTCTCACCATCAGTCTCTGGAAGACAGAGGTCTTGTTTCAGCCAGCACTTCATTCCAATGCCCCAGTGCCAGCCACCTTCATCCATGGTTCAAGTATTTGGGCAGTACCATCTCAAGTGACAGTTCTCTTGATAAGGAAATCTCCTCCAGAATTAGGAGAGCCAGCCAGGCCCTTGGCCGACTTCAAACAAAAGTTCTTAATCAACACAACATCTGTCTCTCCACCAAATTGAAGATCTACAGTGCAGTGGTTCTAACTTCACTCCTGTATGAATCTGAGACGTGGACTCTTTATAGACATCACATTAAAGAACTTGAGCAATATCACATGTGCTCCCTCCGCCCAATAATGAGCATTCGCTGGCAGGAATATTAAAGTCCTTCAGAGAGCAAACACAACCAGCACTGAGGAAATTTTATTGAGAATATAAGTTAGGTGGACCGGGCATGTCCTCAGAATGGAAGACCACTGTCTCCCAAAACAGATCTTGTTTGGGGAGCTGAGTCAGGGCAAAAGAAAGAAGCATTGTCCGTATAAGCACTTCAAAGATAATCTAAAGAATCACGAAATTATCTCCAGGCTGCATGTGAAAGGCACTACAGAGCTGCATAATCACACCCCATAGATACAGGCTTCCCATGCCCTCTCAGTGCAGTTCACTCTGTGCATCAGGATTCAGAGTCATATGCGTAGCCATATATGAGAACTATGACAATATCGTCGTCATTGCCAGGGATGGACTACCAATAATACTGATTAGATTTGCGGATAATACAAAGATTAGTAGAGTGGTAAAAAATGACCAGGACAGGAGAGTCATAGGGGGTGAAGTGGATTGCCTGGTAAACTGGGCCCATTCAAACAAAATGTTATAACAAAGATAAATGGAAGGTCATATCTCTAGAAACAAAGAAAGCAGCCCCTATTACAATCCCCCATTCTGTATCCCGGAAATCAGTGACTCTGAAAAGGATTTAAGGGTCATAGTGGACAAGCAATTGAACATGAGCTCCCAGTGTGATGCTGTTTCAAAACGGTCTAATGCAATCCTTAGGTGTATAGGGAAGTAGTAAGTAAAAGAGTGGTGATTTTATTTCTGTATACTGTATTGGTGAGCTCGGTACTGGGATGAAATTCTGTGGCCTGTTTTTTATACAGAGTTCAGATTAAATGATCCAATAGTCCCATTTGGCCTTAAAATCTATGAAAAACTTGTCCTAATGCATTTCCTTACTTTAGGCAATTGGTGATGCAGAGAAGTTGGTGGAGACTCTACGTCTGGCTGCTGAGAAAGCAGAGGAGAAACTGTCCCTGGCCAGGCTCAGGTTGCGAGAACAGACTCAGGAAGGTAGGTTTAGGCCTTGGTCATGAACTGCTTGATAGAGTAAAATTGGGGGAAGAGGGAGGTTCTTGATCAGGACCCAGGTGTATCTGTAGTTCTTTAAGTCTTTGTTCATATGGATCCTACTCATGGGGTGCATGTGCTCCATGAATATGAGATTGGAATCCTTTCACCACGTAGGAAAGTTCCTCTACAATGAGCCACTAGTCAGAACTAAAAAAACTCCAAGGTCGTGCCAGCTGGGCACAAGACACTTCATTAACTATATTAATTATTAAGACTAAAACTGTTAGGAAAAAAGATGCTAAACTTAGAGACAGTGGACAGATACTGTTGAGTTCTTTCTCGCTACTATGGGTGGTTAAGAGGCGATCAGTGCCGCTCTGCCCTATCTGACCTCAGGTGTGTTCCTGGAGAAACCTTGCTTGTGATGGGTTAGGAAATGAGCAGCCTCTGGCCACGATAGACTTTGTCTGGGGTGGAGGATACAATACAACTTTGTTATGTCTTTTATAGTTCTAAGCATATTTTCAAACCTTGTCACCTACATTTGGTGCTTAAATCTTGTATTTGAGCTAAAATATCCAATGTAGGCCCTTAAATCCCAGTATGAGAACCCAAACGGCGGATTTGTTCGCAGTCTATAAGTATCTACATGGGGAACAGAAATTTCTGGCCTTTATGAAAGAGTTACTGGGTGATGTTCCGTGGTCTGTATTACGCAGAAAGTCAAATTAGATGATTCCAATGTTCTTTTCTGTCTTTATAATCTGTGTCTATGAAGATTCAAATCTCCAAAGGGCATAAACACCAAGGAGGAAGAAGAAATGTTGACTAGTCCAAGTAGGTATACCAAGGGCAATAGAATGAAATTAAGAAAGGGAGAAGTTAGGTTAATATCTGGGAAATTTTCCTGACTGTGAGTGTTATTAGGTTATGGACTCCTCTTCCAAGGGAAGTGGCAGTATGGTAATAAAAAAATCAATAATAGTTTCTACTGAAGGGACTTGCACCACTTTCCTTGGAAGTGCTTAACCATTCAACATTAATGTTCTTGCTGTTTTTTGTGTAGAATAGATAATGCTATTCAGTGCTTTCTCTATCCTTTACTAGGGGTGGGGAATGAATTCCAAGGGCTGAAGTGCTCCGTACAGGAGCTTGATGATGTGCTATTGAAGGATGTGGGAGGCAAAATCCATTCAGATGGACGGTGAGTTAGAAAAGACAATGGTCATACTTGCTGTCATGTTTGTATCCAGCAGAAATGTCTTAACAACAATGCTGCTTCCCCTCAACTCTGAGGAAGAGAGCCTTCGCAAAGGGACTGACCTAAAAGTACTGATACACCTCTTGCCATTAAGCAGCCCTGATGTAGTGGGCTGTTGGACTAGTACCATTATATCCCATGGTGAAGAAGACCCTTTTATTGTTGGTATTAATAATTCTATTTATTTGTTAAATACATGAAATCTGCTCAGCTCTGGTACAAGACACACAATTATTGTATTCCCTGATCACCTTACAACCTAAAGGAAGAGAGAAAAATGGAGAAGAGGAAGGAAACCTAAAGGAGGAAGGAGACATATGGAGTGGCTTTATTTTAGACTCCCTTCTGGGAATGGCATAAGAAGGTTTTTAAGGAGGGATCATCTCCCTGGTGCCACCAGTGTTACCTGGGGTTTCTCAGAACCCAAAGCTGGGGTAACTTAATTGTTTCTCTCCAGGCGGTGTTAGGAATAAATCAATGGGAACACAGTGCTTCCATCTGATAAATGATTGATACAAGCAAGTGTGCTCTTATCCAAAATTACGATTTATTAGATATTAAGCACACACACATACGCAATAGGTTTAAGACATCCCAGATATAGTTACCCACAGTCTGAGATGGTTTCACGTGATCACCATCCAGGCTTCCAGGGGCCCTCTTTCTGTCCAGCTGATGGGGAGTTTAGATGTCAGCTCCTTGCCCAAAGAAAAGCTCCCTTGGACTGCTCAGAGGTATTTACTTTTACCTAATCTTTTATAGCTATCTCTAACAAAGCACGTAACCTATAGTGACTCCTAGTGGGTCAGCATCATAACCCCTACAGGTTCCACTAATTCTCCTAATTTCAGCAAACTACTCATTATCTCAAAACATTTCTAATATTTCCAGCCATAACAACAATACGTCAGCGGCACCTAAAACCAAGCTTGCTCTTACCTCACTCTCTTCCATAACTTTCTGTCTCATCCTCCCATTCTGATTAACAAACTGCAAGTATGCAGTTGTCGGACCTTGTCTCACAAAGGCCTAAGATTATTCCTAGCGATGTGATGTTTGGTTTTCAGCTGGCAGTGGCTGAACATACAAAATTGCTTACTGCAGTACTGTCAAGTTCTGGGCTACATGCAGGAATATCAAATTCCGGGGTAACACCATGTTCCTCCCTGCAGGGCTGGAGGGAGTGTCTGGTTGTTGCTACTTCTCCAGTAGGTGTAGGGGGAATATTTGCTGGTTGTATTGGGTTTTGGTATTTGGTCTTTCAGCTCTAGTTCAGACGCTTAGTTCCCTGTCCCCACTAATGATGGGTGTCTCTGTCTCATCTTCACATACAGATGGCCATTAATCATTGATCCATCTGGACAGGCTGCAACTTTCCTGCGGTATCGAGACACAAATTACTTAAACACACTGAACCCAAATGATATGAACATGGAGACCATTCGATTGGCCTTGCTGGGGGGCCCTCCGGTAGGTGGCAGAGCACCAGGAATGGGAGGGCAGGATGGCAGGCATGGACACAGCATAGGTTGGTGTTCCTGATGATCTAAGAGTGCACATATGAGTGAGCTGGAGGAATAAAACAATTAGCTGGTAGTGTAGTGCATGTGGCTGTGAGGGAGTAAGTTGCTTTTTGATACCCTCTGCCTGGGGAAGTAGCTGCACTACCTTCACAGTTAGTATTTCTGGTCGTCTTTCACAAAAGGGAATGCTGGCTGAGTGAGGGGCCTTTTCTCCCCAGTCCCCTTTCCACATTGTGCTAAAGGGAAGGCTGTCCATACATGTAATACTTGAGACCCATCATTATCGAGAGAGAGAGAGATTTGTTTTGTCTATCTTTTGTATTAAGGACCTTGGACTGTCCTGTAGTACATATGATCAACCATTCAGACCTCTGCCCTTAGGTATGGAAAGCCAGTGGTGTTTGACATGATGGAAGTGAACATGTTTGATGCCGTGAAGAGACAGTTGGAGAGAATAGAGTCTGGACTGGCAGAGGCAATTCTGAGCAAGCAGATACTGCAGAATGAAAGGTAAGAATTTGTGGGTATGGTAAACTCCATGAGCTTCAGTGGAGAAATGGCACCTCTTCCGACCCTATTCCCTCCCAGCTTGGGGATGTAGGAATGTGCCAATCCCTTGGCCCATATCAGCCTTGTCCCCTCCCAGCCTGGGAAGCCAGGGAGAAGGCTGAGCACCTCTACCCCAGAGCCCTATCTCCCACCATTCTCAGATACTAATGTTATGAGAGCCAGGGACAAATAGTATCTAGCTGTAGATATCTAGGGGTGAGGGACTGGCACCTCCAGCCCTTTGGCCGCCTCCCCTTATAATTCTGGGAAAAGGCCAAAAGATTGCTGGAATATTTACCCTTTTCAAGCTCGGGGATGAGACTGTCACATCAGCCACCCCAACACTGGCACATAACAGTCCAGGGTAGAGTTTGAGAAATTCCTGCACCCTAAGGAAAGTTTTCTGCAAATCCCACTCTTGATGCCCAATCAGGTGTGTGAATTGTGCTATTCAGTCAAGGCTGCCTTTGATTCTGAAACTTAACAATGACTTTTTAAATGTCAACTTTAACTGTCTTGTCTAAGACACATCCAGTAAATGGGCTTATCTCATAATCATAAACTCAAACCACTGCCATGTCTCTTGAGTGCCAAAACCACCAGCTTCCCCTGATAGCTTATAGGATGTATTGTCAGTGTTCTAGGTACAGAGAATATCATGTAGAAGGGGCTCTATAAATATGTCAGACAAAACAGAGTGATCAGGGATGGTGAGCTGGTAATGGAAGATGATAGAGAAGCAGACCTGCTCAATGCCTACTTTGCTTCAGTCTTCACACACAAAAATAATGTGCCCAGACAACCAATGATCTTATCATAGACAATAAAGGGGAAGGGATGCAGATTAGGATAAGCAAAGAACATGTCGAAGGTCTTCTGACTAGTTTGAATGTATTATAGTCAGCAGGGCCTGATGGTATTCACTCCAAGAAGCTGAAGGAATTAATTGATTTAGTTGGGGATTGGTCCTGCTTTGAGCAGGGGTGGACTAGATGACCTCCTGAGGTCCCTTCCAACCCCAATATTCTATGATTCTATGATTCTATAAACTGAAGAACTCTTGGAGCTGCTTGCAATAATATCTGCAAATTCTTCTTTGAGTGATCATAGCATCATAGAATATCAGGGTTGGAAGGGACCTCAGGAGGTCATCTAGTCCAACCTCCTGCTCAAAGCAGGACCGATCCCCAATTAAATCATCCCAGCCAGGGCTTTGTCAAGCCTGACCTTAAAAACTTCTAAGGAAGGAGATTCTACCACCTCCCTAGGTAACGCATTCCAGTGTTTCACCACCCTCCTAGTGAAAAAGTTTTTCCTAATATGCAACCTAAATCTCCCCCACTGCAACTTGAGACCATTACCCCTTGTTCTGTCATCTGCTACCACTGAGAACAGTCTAGAGCCATCCTTTCTGGAACCCCCTTTCAGGTAGTTGAAAGCAGCTATCAAATCCCCCCTCATTCTTCTCTTCCGTAGACTAAATATCCCCAGTTCCCTCAGCCTCTCCTCATAAGTCATGTGTTCCAGTCCCCTAATCATTTTTGTTGCCCTCCGCTGGATTCTTTCCAATGTTTCCACATCCTTCTTGTAGTGTGGGGCCCAAAACTGGACACAGTACTCCAGGTGAGGCCTCACGTCCCTCAATCTGCTGGCAATGCCCCTACTTATACAGCCCAAAACGCCATTGGCCTTCTTGGCAACAAGGGCACACTGTTGACTCATATCCAACTTCTCGTCCACTGTAACCCCTCGGTCCTTTTCTGCAGAACTGCTGCCTAGCCATGTGGTCCCTAGTCTGTAGCAGTGCATTGGATTCTTCCGTCCTAAGTGCAGAACTCTGCACTTGTCCTTGTTGAACCTCATCAGATTTCTTTTGGCCCAATCCTCCAATTTGTCTAGGTCCCTCTGTATCCTATCCCTACCCTCCAGCGTATCTACCTCTCCTCCCAGTTTAGTGTCATCCGCAAACTTGCTGAGAGTGCAATCCACACTATCCTCCAGATCATTTATGAAGATATTGAAGAAAACCAGCCCTAGGACCGACCCTTGGGGCACTCCACTTGATACCGGCTGCCAACTAGACATGGAGCCATTGATCACTACCCCTTGAGCCCGACAATCTAGCGAGCTTTCTATCCACCTTATAGTCCATTCATCCAGCCCATACTTCTTTAACTTGCTGACAAGAATACTGTGGGAGACCGTGTCAAAAGCTTTGCTAAAGTCAAGGAACAACATGTCCACTGCTTTCCCCTCATCCACAGAGCCAGTTATCTCATCATAGAGGGCAATTAGATTAGTCAGGCATGACTTGCCCTTGGTGAATCCATGCTGACTGTTCCTGATCACTTTCCTCTCCTCTAAGTGGTTCAGAATTGATTCCTTGAGGACCTGCTCCATGATTTTTCCAGGGACTGAGGTGAGGCTGACTGGCCTGTAGTTCCCAGGATCCTCCTTCTTCCCTTTTTTAAAGATTGGCACTACATTAGCCTTTTTCCAGTCGTCCGGGACCTCCCCTGATCACCATGAGTTTTCAAAGATAATAGTCAATGGCTCTGCAATCACATCCGCCAACTCCTTTAGCACTCTCGGATGCAGCGCATCTGGCCCCATGGACCTGTGCACGTCCAGCTTTTCTAAATAGTCCCGAACCACTTCTTTCTCCACAGAGGGCTGGTCACCTCCTCCCCATCCTGTGCTGCCCAGTGCAGCCATCTGGGAGCTGACCTTGTTCGTGAATGGACAAGTGCAGAGTCCTGCACTTAGGACGGAAGAATCCAGTGCACCGCTACAAACTAGGGACCAAATGGCTCAGCAGCAGTTCTGCAGAAAAGGACCTAGGGGTTACAGTGGACGAGAAGTTGGATATGAGTCAACAGTGTGCCCTTGTTGCCAAGAAAGCCAATGGCATTTGGGATGTATAAGTAGGGGCATTGCCAGCAGATCGAGGGACGTGATCGTTCCCCTCTATTCGACATTGGTGAGGCCTCATCTGGAGTACTGTGTCCAGTTTTGGGCCCCACACTACAAGAAGGATGTGGAAAAATTAGAAAGAGTCCAGCGGAGGGCAACAAAAATGATTAGGGGACTGGAACACATGACTTATGAGGAGAGGCTGAGGGAACTGGGGATGTTTAGTCTTCAGAAGAGAAGAATGAGGGGGGATTTGATAGCTGCTTTCAACTACCTGAAAGGGGGTTCCAAAGAGGATGGCTCTAGACTGTTCTCAGTGGTAGCAGATGGCAGAACAAGGAGTAATGGTCTCAAGTTGCAGTGGGGGAGATTTAGGTTGGATATTAGGAAAAACTTTTTCACTAGGAGGGTGGTGAAACACTGGAATGCGTTACCTAGGGAGGTGGTGGAATCTCCTTCCCTAGAAGTTTTTAAGGTCAGGCTTGACAAAGCCCTGGCTGGGATGATTTAGTCGGGGATCGGTCCTGCTTTGAGCAGGGGGTTGGACTAGATGACCTCCTGAGGTCCCTTCCAACCCTGATATTCTATGATTCTAAGACAGAGGCAAAAAAAGCATTGAGTACATTAGCTTTTTCCACATCCTCTGTCACTAGGTTGCCTCCCTCATTCAGTAAGGGGCCCACACTTTCCTTGGCTTTCTTCTTGTTGCCAACATACCTGAAGAAACCCTTCTTGTTACTCTTAACATCTCTTGCTAGTTGCACCTCCAGGTGTGATTTGGCCTTCCTGATTTCACTCCTGCATGCCAGAGTAATATTTTTATACTCATCCCTGGTCATTTGCCGAATCTTCCACTTCTTGTAAGCTTCTTTTTTGTATTTAAGATCAGCAAGGATTTCACTGTTAAGTCAAGCTGGTTGCCTGCCATATTTACTATTCTTTCTGCACATTGGGATGGTTTGTCCCTGTAACCTCAATAAGGATTCTTTAAAATACAGCCAGCTCTCCTGGACTCCTTTCCCCCTCATGTTATTCTCCCAGGGGATCTTGCCCATAGTTATCCTAAGGGAGTCGAAGTCTGCTTTTCTGAAGTCCAGGGTCCGTATTCTGCTGCTTTCCTTTCTTCCTTGTGTCAGGATCCTGAACTCAACCATCTCATGGTCACTGCCTCTCAGGTTCCCATCCACTTTTGCTTCCCCCACTAATTCTACCCGGTTTGTGAGCAGCAGGTCAAGAAGAGCTCTGCCCCTAGTTGGTTCCTCCAGCACTTGCACCAGGAAATTGTCCCCTATATTTTCCAAAAACTTCCTGGATTGTCTATGCACTGCTGTATTGCTCTCCCAGCAGATATCAGGATGATTGAAGTTTCCCATGAGAACCAGGGTGTGTGATCTAGTAACTTCTGCGAGTTGCCTGAAGAAAGCCTCGTCCACCTCATCCCCCTGGTCCGGTGGTCTACAGTAGAATCCCATCAGGAGTCCCCATGAGGAGAGAGTCCCCGACCACCACCACCTGCCTCCTTCTCTTGGGAGCGGTGGTCATGGAACCCCCAACCCTAGGACAGGGCATCTCATGCCTTCCAGTCGGCGGAGTCTCCTTCTGCTCCCTTCCCTCAGACGTATCATCTGGTCCACTCTCCGCATTAGTACCTGTGGAGAGAACATGAAAACGGTTACTTACCTGTATCTGCGTTGCTGGTACATGGACGTTCCCCTTTTTTCTTCTGGAGGTCACATGATGCCAAATTTCTTCACCATCCCGATGTGCAGCCTGCTCTGAATCTTCAGAACCTTGTGCCCATAGAAGCATATCCTGACATCTGTCCAGGAAATCTTCAGTTTCTCTTCTGCAACACAGGGTCGATACCTGTTGCTCCAGACCTTCAT